CTCTCTCTCTCTCTCTCTCTCTCTCTCTCTCTCTCTCTCTCTCTCTCTCTCACCCCTCTCTCCAAAATCTAATGAGTATGACGTGTCGGGTAGTTTGCTGGATGCTTGCATTTATGTGTGCATTTGTGTGGGAGCACTCAAGAGTAAAATGTGACGAATAACCATTAGTGTTTGCGTGTGCACGTTTGCATTTCTCCCGTTTTTTGCTGTGCTTTTTTAAAAAAGTGGTTACTGGTTTAGTCACAAGGCGAGCCACTTGACTAAGTCTTTCTAAAATACATAATCATTACGTAAATAAGATGTAACGTTTAAATAATTTCTATGAAGGACGGGAGATAACTGATGTTAATCTCGCTACATCTATAGCGCAGTAGCTTCCCCTGGCTCATGTCTCGGTCCTCAGCGAGTGACGAATGATGAATGAACTGACAAAGGTGTACGCGAAAACAAACAGTAAATGACGTGTAATCTAACGACACAGAAAAAAAAACCCTGTGTGGTTGAGAATATGATTATTGGAATTGATCCAGGGTGTCCATAGGAGTGTTAAAAAACCTGCATTACAACAAAAATTGTCAAGAAATTAATACTTTTACTTTACTTTACTTTACTTTTCCGATCCAGCGGCCATTTGGGTTCTAGCAGGTTCTAGCCCTTCGGTCTGGAGAAATTAATACAAAATAAAACTCGACAGGCGACTTAGAAATTAAGGAGAAAAACATAATACCTTTACCGCATAGAAGTTATATATAGTGCATGCCAGAAACTCGGGACGATAAATAAAATTTAATGTGAGGCATCGTGGCGAAAACAGGCGCTCGTCAAAATTATGAAATCAAAGAAAGGGGCATTTCGCTTTACGTTGGGCAGTTTGTTCGCACTTACTTTTTTTTCTTTTATTCTAAATAGAATCTACCTCTTGCATCTTTTTAAAATACCTTTCCGTCTGAAAAGTACTGAAAAACTTAGATCAAAGGTACCAAAAAAGAGTAAATTTGCAGTTTTCAGGAACACTCAAGCTATGGCAATCACTCAAGTTTGGCGGCCATTTTGTCGTTAATTTTTGCCTCTGACACCAGGGGATTCCCACTTCCTTTAATCGCTTATATTTATCATGTTGGCTTCTTTTCAAGATAGATGA